CCGTCGACCACCGGGTCAGGTCGACCATCAGGTCGACATCACGCCTGGTCGCCCAATCACCAAGTCGACCAGCAGGCCTGGTCGACTTACCACCAGGTCGACCAGCAGTCCTGTCAGCCGACCACCCAAGTCGGCTGCCCCAAGTTGGCGTCACCAAGTTGACACCCTCCGCAGGTCGACTTCCCAAGTCGACCTCCCTGAACTCGGCGCCACCCTGAAGTTGGCGCCCGCGTAGTGGCCCCCGTGCAGGTCGACCTCCTCGTCAACCAGCTCGCCCACTGCTGCAGGTCGGCTGCTCCCCTCACACCCGACCACGAAGTCGGCTCCGCCCAAGCGAGGACGGGGCCAACACACAACTCCCGTTGACAGTGGGGAGGGTGGGGAGGATGCTGATGCGCGCAATGGCCCGCGGCCTCGCCAAGCAGGGTGGGCAGCAGCAGGGCGGGCAGCAACAAGGAAGCAACGGTGTGGACAGCACGGTGAGCGGATATGTTGTGCTGGTTGGGAACAGTGGTTCGGGCGTCATCTGGGGCGGGCAGCTCATGGGCGTCAAAATCCCCTCCGCTGCGGCTGCGGCGTGATTTTGGCGGTGCTGGGTAGGAGTGGCAAAGTGTGACGGTGTGGCCATGATCCCACTGCTTCAAGTCATGGAATATGGGCATTTGAGTTATGGTAGTGGTAAAGTGGGTAGTGCTGAAATGGGTAATGCTGTAAGCGTGTAGTGTGCATGATGCGTGGGTTCTGAGCATGGGGGCAGGAATGCTGGCAAGCTGCAATGACCTGCATTGCCAACATTCCTGCCTCTGACAGCTCATGATCACCTCTTAGATTTAGTTCCTCCTGTGCGGTTTTGTGCAGCAATGAAAATTCTCTAATGAGTCAAAGCTCTTCTCATCATTAGCACTACTGGTCCAACTAGAGCCCCTTGTTGGAAATTTAATAGCTACAGGGTATAGTAAACAGAGTACAAGGTTGGCTGATTAAGAGTGTCTGTGAGGGTGAACTGTGAGGCAAACTGACGAACCTGGCGAAGTGAGAACTGGGAAGGATACTATGTTGTTACTGATATCATGAGCACGAGTTGTTGGGCAAGGCGAATATGTAATAGAGTCTGCTTGGCAAGGGAGTGCACAGACGGATACACAAATTAGATTGTCCGACATTCACACGATGCACGGATTGGCCACGAGATCTAGATACGTATTGTGGGCAGCACTAGAGTACGACTGAAAATTATGACGCGTGAAAACGTCCACTAGAGTACTCTGAGCACCAATTTGAGTTCTGGTCTGTACTTTCGCTAATCGGAGAGATGATCGCCGCCTTGTCAAGAGGGGAAATAAGTAGGCAGGTACGCAGTGCAGACCACCCTTCCATAGCAGTCAATCTGTAACTACAAACTAGTCTGACTTGCAGCGCGTCTCAAGTCAAGTCCAAAGCTAAGCTAGACTACCTTTGGCGTTTAGCTCATTTCGCAATCTGCTCGATTGCCTGTTCTTCCCGCTCTCTACGACCATCGGAGCGACGAAGGACAGAATTAACTTTCTAAAAAGATCGCACGAACGGCGCGACCAGCAAAAGAGAGATCAATCAACAGCTAGTCAATCTGGCTGGCGTGAGGTACTCGCTAAATTAGCTTTAGCTGGCTTGATGGTCTGACTTGAACTGCTAGAGTTCGACAGATCGCCAAGTGTTGTGCACGAATCTTGATTAGAGATATGTAACCAGAGCGCCATCTTGAAATTAACTCACTAATGAGTTTTACAATCTCCACATTAATACGACAGAACAATAAATACCATTGACGATAATAGATGGAAAAACGGCATGCAATCACTGTAATTACATTCAGATTCATCTGATGAAGGCCAAAACAATTGTTGTATCATGGCAGGAATCCCATATGGTAGTAGATGCTTCAAAGGTTGTAATAGACTATTTTCAAATGTCTTACAAACGTCCTGTTTCTAGCGCTTATGTACTGTGGGAGTCAGCTATTTTCTCCATGCACATTGCGCTGACTCGTGGCTCGTATGGATTTCGTTCGGACATTTTCAACACCCTGTCGATGTGGCTTCCTTTACCAAGCCGAACCAACGGCTTCGAAGGTATGGCTTGCCTTGAAAATCTGTCTGAACCACGCATACCGACCTCAGGGAGCGAGGTGTGGTACCGTACCTACAGCCCAAACAGTTGCAGGGTTGACTAGTCGTCACGTGCAAGCAAGGCGAGATTATAAATTGCCGTTGATCTACGATTTTCGATCATCAGCTTCTCTTTCAACCTCCCTCACAAAAACTGCAGTAATCTCGCTTCGCTAGACCATACACCGTTTTCCGTCCCCCACTCGAATTACGTTTCTTCTATACTTGCAACTCCCAGCCATGGCCTCCAAGACACTGCTTATCGTGTGCTTCACGATCCTCGCAGTGACGTCCGCCTTCGCGCAGCGCGGCCCGCCTGGCGGAGGCCCGCCCGGCGGTCAGGGGCCGCCAGGGGGACCGCGCGGCGGAGGCCCTGGTGGGCGCGGCGGACCTGGCGGCGGCCCTGGCGGAGAGCCGCACGGTCCTCCGCTGAACCTGACGGCCGTCGGAAATCTGACGGCGGACGTTGGCGCGCAGCTGAAAAACTGCTCGGCGGATCCGACCTTCATTGACGGCCGCTTCCACCTCACCGTCTTCAAGTAAGCCTCTCCTCCACCCGACCCCCCGTCTTAAGTAATGCGCCGCAAATGAGTACGAAACGGTGCCTTTCTCTTTTCCGTCCACTCGTGGCATGAGTCCGTCACTTCCCATCTCTCTGTCATCGCAGCAGAATCTCATCTCTCTGCCCCCCATGCCCTCCTCCCCGCCCCGCTCGTTCCCGCAGGAACTCAACGGGCAACTACAACCTCCTCGTCGATGCGCTTCTCGTCGGAGGCGACGCCGCCGCCGGCCCGCCCGACTCGATCGCGATCGTGCAGGGCGCCGTGTGCGACTCGGCCGCGTCCGCCGCGGTGGTGCTCTCTCTGCCCTTTGCCGCCTCCGATTGGCTGCAGCGCTCCGGCTGGTGGCTGCTGCACGCGGAGGCGCGCCTCGACGCGTTTCTCGAGAACGCCGACGCGACCACCGTTGAGGCGCTGCTCGCGGTGCTCCCCAACGCGTCGCTCCCCCGCAGCAACGGCGGCGGCCGCGGCGGGCGCAGCGGCGGAGGCAGTTCCGGGGGAGCGGGGGGCGCGCGTGGCGGGCAGGGCGGCAAGCGCATGGGGCTGGGCGCAATGGCTCGCGGCCCCGCCAAGCAGGGCGGCCAACAGCAGGGCGGGCAGCAGCAGCCGCCTGCAGGTGGCTTTGCAGGTGGTTTCCCAGGTGATGGGGCGGGCAACGGCGTGAACAGCACGGTGAGCGGATATGCTGTGCTGGCGGGGAACAGTGCGTCGGGCGTCATCTGGGGCGCGCAGCTCATGGGCGTCAAAATCCCCTCCCCTGCTGCAGCAGCATAATGTGAAAGCAGTGAAATCCTCTCTGCTGCTGGGTAGGAGTGGAAGCAGTGAGATGTTGCTGCTGTGGTAGCCACTGCATAAGGTGGGATTTGGGCATTCGAATCAGTGTTCCTGTGGGCAGTCCTAAAGTGGATAGTGAGAGTAGTGGTGTTATGGTTTGTGTGGTGTCACGTGTGTATGTGTTTAGTGATGCTTCTGAGCATGGGGGCAGGAATGCTGGCAAGCTGCAATGACCTGCCTTGCCAGCATTCCTGCCTCACAGCTGTTGAGTTGAGCACCTCTTGAATTTTCTTCAGCAATGAAAATTTCTCTTACTACACAGCATCACGATATACTAGCCCACTAGAGCCCCTTGCTTCAGAAATTAGGCAGCTACAAGAATATTGTGAACAGAACATAGACAGGCTTGGCCCTCATACAGGAACAAGGGTATTATTCAGCCTCAGCCATGCACAGTTTCAGTTTGAGCATTGAAGCCAGGAAACTACAAAATACAGTCTAAACAAAGCCCAGCTACACTTGTACCATAGAACTTGTAGATCCTTTAAACCAGAACCATGCAGCACCTGTCACTGGTGCAACTGTAATGCCCACAACAAATGCATCCATGCCACACCCATTCATGCGTACAACCCATCTCCACCTCAACCTGTGAAGCCCAAGCCAACCCACAAGCCAAGCAGCACTCATTCCTGTGCAGCAACTGAACCGTGACAACACGGGTACCACACCAGTGTGTGTCAAGAGGAATCCAGGTTATTGAAGCTGGGCACTCCCAGCCTGGAATGCCATACCAGGCTGGTGCGTGGCAACGGAATCCGGGGCTACTACGGTACGGTTGTTAGCAGATCAGGCAAGGTTAATCAACATTCCGATTTGAAGGTGGCTCGTCAGCATTATCGAGGTAACAAGGCAATTCTTGTGAAACGAACACTTCGATTTAACGCTCCTATGGTGCCATACGTGGTGATACAAGGTAACCAGCAGTGCTACATGGTGCTAGGCGTTATGCCAAGCCAACACGGCCCCTGGTTTGATTATCAAACGCAGGGAGCTTGGAGAAGCGAGGTGCAACGTGCATGTTCTCGAAACGGTATAATTCCAGAGGAAAGGGGTTTAAAGGGGGAGGGAGGGGGGGGAGATGTTTTGGGGGTGTGGCACGAGGACGGATCAGATGAACTAAGCAAATCGGATCGCCTAATGAAACATCGATTTAGAAGTCGCTACAGGACAGTCAGTAGCCGAACGGCGCAACAATCAGCAAGCGCACACATAATCGCTACGAGCTGACACCCGCGAAACAGGGACTCCTGCCAAAATCGCGGGATCGCTACCACCACTACAACATTCACGACTGCTACAAGTCACCGGCGGCTGCAAAACGGCAATCCACGCCCAAAATTGCTACCGGGCTGCACGCGGGACGAACCATAAGCAATCAGGTGTCAGTCTCGCGAAAGGGGGGCCGCCACGTCGAAACACTACGAATCCGCGACGTAACAGCTCCCGAAAGCACTAAGACTTAGCGGCGGGGGCGGAAGGGGGGCCCTCCAGCGCCGCCGCCGCGGCCAAAGTCGCGGTCGTCGCGGCGGAAGTCGTCGCGCGGGTGGCTGCGCGGGCCCTGGCGGGCGAAATCGATTCGCAGGTTCGGCGACGTGTAATCGTTCTCGTCGAAACGGTACCCTGCAGGGTTTACGAGGCCGGGGGGAACGTGCACGGGTCGCCAGGGGGGAAGGGCTAGATTCGAAGGGTCGATCGAACATGTAAGTTGTAATCGATTCGTAAAAACAATAGCGTGCACAAATCGCCGAAAAGACAAGTGGCACGAACGCACGCGCCCAAGGAATCGGCGGGAACAGCAGCAGCTGCCAGAATCTGTTGGACGGAAGCTTGTGTTAGATAAGTAGGAAAAATCGACACTACGAGAGGTCGAGGTGCGCGCAGGTAGGACCAGATTACCTATAATCGGACGAGACCTGGTGGAAACATTCTGCATCGGAACCAGCTACTCGTCGAGGTAGATCGGATCGGCGATACACCAACAACTCGTCCAAAAGCTTCAAACCTCGACTCGAGGGACCACCACTTCGCACCGACGACCCTAAACCCTGGTCTACTTGCATCGTATTCGTTTGATTTCGGTCGCTATAATTCGTAACTTCGTCCACGGCCAGCTGCCTGCTTCTCTGACGCGCCTCAACTGCTGAACGATACCGCTACTCTGATGCTGAACTGAATCCGAAACGCTTCTCTGCTTTTCTGAGCTAAAAGCCTTACCGTCTCAGCAGCAGCCCTCACTGCCCTACCTTGCAGCCATCCCCACCTTGCAGGGCTTCAAGGGCCGTGGCGGCGCAGCGCGCGTCGGCGAAGTCGACGAAGCAGAGGATGAGCTTCTCGGGCTCCCCGCCCTGCACCACGCACGACGGAGCAGGGGGAAGCGACAAAAATAAAACGCCTTGTATGTTTTGCGAACTTGACTAAAAAGCGAGATCGCAGCTTGGGTTGGTTGAAAGTGCAGAGCAATGGGGGGCGGCAGGCTGAGGGGCAGCAATGGGGGCAACAGCCGAGGGCAGGACCAGAGGGGGCAGCGACGTACCCGGCGCACTTCCTTGGGCACGAGGCGCACCTCCTTGAACCCGATGAACGGCCGGAATATGTCTGCGCGGGGGGGAACGGATGGGGCAGTGGGAGGCGGAGCAAGGGATAAGAAGAGAACGGGAACAAAGGGGGAGCGGAAGGCACGCCAAGGGCAACGGCAACGTACGGCAGGCCTCGCGGCGCGAGCAGTCGGGCGGCAGGTTGTCGATGTAGAGCGTGGGGGACGCGTCGTGCGGGATCGGCATGTCCCCCGGATGCATGTCGATCGGCGGCATCCCCCCCGGACCCACCCCCGGCGCGCCCATCCCGCCAGGCATGGGCATCGGCGGACCCCCCGGCCCGCGCGGCATGGGCGGACCCGCCAGGTCCATTCCGCCGAGGCTGCGCATGCCCGATCCGGGGGGAGGCGGGCCCAGATGGTCGTCCGCCATGCCGCCCATCCCAAGCGTGCCAGGTGGCGCCATACCGGGTGGTGCCAAGGAGCTCTGCGGACAGGAACGGAGAGGAATAAGGGTGAAAAAATGAAATAAAATAAAAATTAACGGTTTTTTCAAATACGACCTTTTTAAGGACCTCGCGAAACGAGATTGCCAGACAAAGAGGCGCATCCGCGACACATCTGATCCCCTTCAGAACGAAGAGGAGAAAGTAGTGCGACGCACCAGATCGCCTCGTCTGAGCCCCGCAGGGTCAGCGTCCCGCCACCCGCCAGGAGCGCCGTAGCCCGGAGCTCCCGACCCCCTTGGCGGACCGCCGATCCCACCGTACATTGCAGAGCCAGGGGGCGGCGCGTCGTACTCTGGAAAGAGGGGCGCAAAAATGTAACGCGACGCGGAAAAGTAGCAGCAACTTGAGGAATAAATATTAAAACATCCATGCTTGCCGAATCAGCCGTACTATGAAAGGAACGAGCAGAAATGTATCAGTAAGAACTGACCGTAGTCTCGTCGGCGTTTAACACTGTTTGGCGGTGTCCCAGCACCCCGTCCGCGATCGGCGGCGTATCTATCGCCGTACCGATCGCCCGCGTCATATCTCCAGTCAGCCATCCCAGAGAACGCTCAGCACAACACAGCACGAAAGAAGGAAGCAAGAAAAATCCTTCTAGTCACGAAAAGAAAAGCCTGGAACAAGGGCGCCTGTGTGGGCAAAACTGAGGTGTCTAATGGCTGGAAGGGCGAGAAAGGCGAGCTTGATGCAAGATGGGAGTAGGGGGGGAGGAACGGGGAAAGAGCTTCACGGGCGCAAACCCAATTGACAGGGTTTGAAAGCATCAGTGCGTCGAAACGGTGTAAATGTTGTGAGAGTGGTCCTATACGGTGAAACTTGGAACACAAGCTCCCAAAACGTAGAATATCGTTGAAGTATTGAATATCACTTGACCTGAGCAAATTCAGGAACTAGCGTCTAAGGCCTGGAAATCAAATTCTAAAATTTTTCCAAAAAAAACACATGATATGTTCCAACGTAGCGATTTGTTTCTCAAATCTCTTCAAATCAGGAATCACGTGCTTTGTTATACGTAGCAATGAAGTGTAGTGCCTTGCCTATCACACTGTATTAGCAGCACCAGGAATCCTTCCCCTTGGGTTTTCTCTTCCGCCCAACGCAAATCTCACCATCCCCCCACCAACAAATGTTGCAGCGATTCACCAATCAGCAGCGACGGATCGTCAAATGTAGGGATCTGGCTCGCTAGTCACTAGGGAATTTCTGATGAGCGAGCCAGGCTACTAGTTAGTAAACAGCAGCACTCCGTCGCGCACGCACTCGAAGCGTGCGGGCTCGCAGCGCTGGTAGCCAGCTTCGTGTGTTCGTTTTCCTGTGCCCCTGATCGGACGAGATCCGACATCGTGTTGTTGAAATTTAGAGAAATTCACATTCTTGTCATATCCCCTCTGGTCCATCAGTAATCAGACCAGTCATCGTTCGACCTCCGGAAGAGCCGATCGCATTAAGCCGACAAGATGGCGTTGTGCGAGGTGCATCGATCGGCCACCGTGGCCTTCGCGCCGACGGAGCCGCTTATAGCGATGGGGACTATGGCGGGAGCCATTGATCTCTCCTTCTCCTCCTCCGCCGCCCTTGAAATCTTCCGCCTCGAGTTTGCATCCACCACCGCATCCGCCGACAATCCCGCCGCATCTGCCGCCTCCTCCGGCGCTGGCGTCAGCCCCGCCGGAACCTTCGGAAACGCTGCTGACGTGTCACCGGACGATTTTTTCGGCGGGCTGGGCAGCCCTGACCAATCCGGAGGCAAGGCGGCTGGCGGAGTGCCGGGAAGCGCGGGAGCGGGGGGCGGGCGGTCGGATCTGCCGTCGCTGGGAGCGGCGACGGCGAGCGATCGGTTCAATCGGCTGTCGTGGGGATCGTGCGGCGTGGAGCAGTCGGAGGCGTTCAGCCACGGCATCATCGCGGGCGGACTGATCGATGGCACCGTCGCTCTTTGGAACCCCGCGCGCATCATTAGGTATGGCGCGCGCGGGCATTAGCATGCGATGCGCGGTGCCTCGAATCGTGGCGCCGCGTGGAATTCGACCGGTTTTCGAGTCGATTGAGATGCGTGTGAGCCGTGGTACCCGCGTGAATTATCAGGCATGCGTCCTGGATCGCTGTGTCTGATGTTGCGAGTTTTTTGTTGAAGTGTGGTCCGTGCACGCAAATTGCGGCAGTTCGCGCGAAGTTTGAGGCGCTATGCCGCTCGAATTGTTTCGTATTATTTGCAGCGATGCTTTAGATGATACAGAAGGCTATTCTGGGCTAGAAATCGGAAAAAAAAAAATTTGCTCGTTTCTGCTGACAAGCTATTGTGTGTCATTGTCGTTCCGATGCGTGTGGTTGGTGGAGTGGCAGCGGCAAGACGGGCGAGGGAGAGGGAGCTCTCGTCGCCAAGATGTCCAAACACAAGGGCGCGGTGAGTGGCGCACAAGTGGTCGGTGAGTGGCGCACAAGCGGGCGGTGAGTGACGATCGCGAAGGAGGTTGAGGAATGAGCGCGAAAGGGCGGTAAGTTGTGAAGGTAATGTGTAGTGTTGGGAAACGAGGACTGGTTCGCTCTGCACAGGGCAGGAGCGGCAAGCACAAGGGAAGTCACACGACACACGCATGCTGAAAAGAGTGGTAGAGAATGGTTCTGTGAGGTGCGAACGATACGGGCGGACGAAGCAGCTCATTTACCTATTCCGTCCCTCGTTCTTCTAAAGGGAAACCACGTCCTTTGCATGAGCTATTCATCCCGCGCCACCTCATATCCAACCTGTGATCGCACTCATGATCACTCCAATCGCCTTGGCTCGGCATGGCAGGTGCGAGGGTTGGAGTTCAACCCAGCGGCGCCCAACCTGCTGGCGTCAGGCGCGGAGGACGGAGAGCTGTGCATCTGGGACCTCGCCAACCCCTCTGCTCCCTCGCTCTACCCCTCGCTCAAGGTCCGTGTGGGCTCCTTATTTTCGCCGCTCTCTCGCTCTATATAACTCGCTCAACGTCCCTGTGGGCTAATTTCTACCTGCCGCTCACTCTGTATATACCTCCTCGTTTAGGCTAGTCTGAGTTGCTACACCCATACACGTTCTTTATCCACCCGTCGCTAAAGGTGCCAGCGATGGTGAGCGTGGTTTGTCCGAGTGAGCGCAAGGCGTGACTCAAGGTCAGCAGCCGCCAGCCCTGTGCTCTGAGACCGACCCGCCGTTGGCTTCCGCTCGTCAGGTGGCATCCCTCCGTTCTAGGCGCCCCCCAGGAATGAAATGCTCATGCTGATTGCTGTATGCCCTCTCTGCTGTGCTGCTGTGCTGCTGTGCTGCTTTTCTGCGTGCGTGGGCGTGGGCGTGGGCGTGGGCGTGGGCGTGGGCGGGCGTGGGTGTGCGTGGTTCGAGCAGGGAGCGGGGGGAGGGCCACAGGGGGAGATATCGTGTCTGGCGTGGAACCGCAAGGTGCAGCACATCGTCGCCACCACCTCCTACAGCGGCCTCTCCGGTGCGTGCTGCCTGTGGGAGTGTCATCTCCGCGGCGAGACACTCCGCCTGCCATTGTGATCTCTCCCATCCCATCCCCCCACCCACCCCCAACCTCCCTTTTGCACACTATCAACCTCATATAAGCTTGCCTAGCGCGTTCACACTTAGACTCCACAGCATGCAACCGGCCATGCACACCCCTGAGTCCTGACATCTCCTTTCTGGAGAATTCTCTGAAGTGACATCTCCTCACACCTCCTCCACACTCCTCTGTCCCTCGCTCCCATTGACCCCTCTCATGCCTCTCTGCAGTCGTGTGGGATCTCCGAAAGCAAAAGCAGGTCATCAGGTGTGCCTCCCTCCTTCCTTCTCGTCTTTTATCTCTCTATTGGTCTCGCCCCTCTCTCTTCCGCCCTCCCTTCCCTTCATCTCTTCCTCCCGTCTCCTCCGTCCCCCCTTCCCCCATCTGTTCCCTCCTCTCGTCCCCCCTTCTCCGCCCCTCCGCACCATCCCGTTTGCTCTCCTCCTGCCTTCCACCTGCCGCCCTCAATCCTCTCTCCCTTTGCCCACGTTCCTTCTCTTGCCCTCCGCCTCCGCACCCGCCACGGCAGTTTCGCGGATCCAGTGAGCAGGAGGCGGTGCTCGTGTCTGCAGTGGAACCCCGAGATCGCCACACAGCTCATCGTTGCCTCCGATGACGACCGCTCGCCCTCCCTCCAGGTCCCTTCACTCACCTTCCCTTCTCCCCTGCTGCTACCTATGCCCCCCCGCCCCTGCTGCTACCTATGCCCCCCCGCCCTTGCTGCTACCTATGGCCCCCCGCCCTTGCTGCTACTGTTGTCCCCCTCTCCTGCTGCTACTCACCACTGACCAGATGGGGCCGTTTATTGCTCGAATCGTTATCCATCCTGCTTGCCACCTCTGCCCCCTCCTCTCCTCTCGTTCCCCACCACTCCCACACCATTCCCCCACCACTCCCACACCATTCCTCACCACCTTCCCCACCACTCCCACACCATTCCCCACCACTCCCACACCATTCCCCACCACTCCCACACCATTCCCCACCACTCCCACACCATTCCCCACCACTCCCCGGCATGCAGGTGTGGGATCTGCGCAATGCCATGTCGCCAGTGAAGGAACTCACCTCACACACCAAAGGTGCGACTTGCTGTAGCTGGAACGGGTGGGTGGGTGGGCAGATGAGCCAATTCTTGAGGCGCCAAAAAAATCAACGCCATGTCGCCAGTGAAGGAACTCACCTCGCACACCAAAGGTGCCCCTCCCTTTCCTTCCCTTCCCTCGCCGCCACTTCGCCAAACTCGTGTTGCTTGCTGCCCGCTCCATGCACCTTGACTTGGTTTCAAATACAGATCAAGTCTAGTGATGGGCCCTATTGTGAGGTTTTTAAATAGACTGGTGGGTAGTTGAGCCAAGGTGTCATGTTCCGTGTGGGTATTATAGTGCGGGACGTATGATTTGGTGGTTGGACTAAAAGTGATCTAGAGCAAGCAAACGTTCTTTACAATCTTGTCTCTCCCCCTTTCCACCCGCGCTGCCCCACAGGCGTGTTGGCCATGGCGTGGTGTCCCAGTGACAGTGGGCTGCTGCTCTCGTGCGCCAAGGACAACCGTACTCTCTGCTGGGACACCACCGGGTCGAGCAGGAGCTGTCGAGCAGGACCACCACCGGGTTCGCCTACACAGCTGCCGCCACCGCCTGGAAGTCCTCTCCGGCCTCCGGTGCCAGCGAGACAGTCGGCTCCATGACGCCGACCAGCGAGCACGACGCCGTCTTGTCGTCCCGCCCCTTACCGCCAGCAGAGGAGTCGGCGTCCTTCGCCGAGGTCGACGTCTTGGTCGACTGCTTCTCCTTGCGCGGCTGGTTTCCTCCACGACGAGGACGACGGCTGCCAGACCTCCCACGGCCTCCCTTGGCGTCGTCGTCGTCGTCGGAGTCACTGCGGTCGGGCACTCGAAGGAGAGGTGGTCGGGGTCGCCGCACAGCCAGCACTCCCGACGTTGAACTCCTCCTCCTCGACCGCAGTCCTTGGTCGACTTCTTCTTGCCGACTTCCTTGGCCGGCTTCCAGCCACTGCTACCACCGCCGCCAGACTGTCCGCGCTGCCCCGGTCGACCTCCTTGCTTCGGCGGGGCGACAAATTTCGCCTGCGCCAAGAGCTCCTGTGACCGCTCTGCCTCCTGCATCGCCTCGTCCTGCAGGATGTACGAGGTCAAGTTGTCCTCGTTGAGCGTCGTCCTCGTGCTCGGCGCCATTGACAGCCGCTTCAGGAGGTTGTAGCAGCTCGAGAGTCCCCGCATGACGTGGGTGACGTACGACGCCGTCGAGTACTGCGCGCCGGCCATCCTGATGGTGGCGAGAATTCGCCGGGCTCGGTTGGAGTAGACGGTCGCCGTCTCCTCGTCGCCCATACGCAGGTGAGTCAGCTGCCCCTCCAGCTGGGCGATGAACAAGTCGTCGGTGACTTGGTAGGTCGACTCGATGAAGTGCCACGCCCGGTGGCCGGCGTCGAGGTACTCTCGGCACCACTTCAAGGCGATCTGCACGCCCGGCGAGCAGCACCGCGAGATGACCGTGAAGGTCAACAGCTGCACGGCGCGGAACTCCGCTCGTAAGTCGGCGTGATGCTCCTCCGGCGTCGCCACGGTCCCTCGGGCAAAGCCGATCAGCCCGGCCATCTCCAGCTGGGGCTCGATAGCTTCCTTCCAGGTGAGGATGTCGGGCCGACCGACCAGCGGAGGGGTGACCAGGATCCTGTCCGGCGTAAACTTGAAGTAGCCGTAGCTCGGTGCTATCCCGCCCGCCGTCACCTGTGTCGCCGACATCGGCGACAGTCTGCTTCGTCGACCTCCGACGTCACCCTGCGATGAGCCTGCAGCCGCCGACGACTGCCTCCTTCGCGCCTGAACGCCCCCGACTTCATCAGCGTGAATCACTCCTCGCTGCCTCGACGTGCCTCCCGCACAGCTGCCGACTTGGCCACCTCCGACGTTGACGCCCTCGTCAATGCCGCCTTCGTTGGTCACCGGTCGAGGAGAAGCTGGTCGAGAAGGGGGGTGCTCCGTCGCCCACATGGGGCGGAGTCCAGCCTCGGCGACCGCCCAGGGTATCGCCTCATGGCGTCTCCTTGCATCCTCCAGCTGTGCCTCCAGGGTGTCCATCACCTCTGTGTCACCTACGCGCACGCTAGTGACTGCACGGCTTCCGGCCTATGAGCAACTTAGGTAAGTGACCACTACGTCGACCTGACTGAAAGGTAAGTCGTGTGCCGTCCACGCTCACCGCACCATGCGGAGATAACTACTACAACGGGAGCTAGGCTACGGGCTAGGCACGGGTGCTCGTGTGATCTCTGCGTTCGTTGGTCCTTAGTCGTTTTCCTAGTGCACACACTGCTTTCTAGTTCACGGGGCAAATTGGCAAGAGTTTCACTAGAGAAAGTTGACAACAATGGTACAAAGGAGTTGGCATGATAAGGCTACATCAGAGCTAGCATTCAGGTTGGTCGACTGCCAGCACAGCATGGTCGACCGCGTTCCAGCACGACTCGGTCGACCGCGCTCCAGCAGTGCAAAGTCGACGGCGTGCCAACGCTGCAGGTCGACGGCGTGCCAGCGTAGCTCCCGAAGTACAGCATCGCACCAGCTTCGCAGGTGCTAGCAGATGATTGGCGTGCTGAGCCCTGTCACCTGCACAACGCACACACCAAGTCAACCTGGCGCTGACGACTGCATCTGATCAGCCACGTCGACCTCGGGATACCACCACCGAGGTCGGACTCGCCAACTTCGCCTGGGCGACCGTCGCACTCCTCCGCAGAACCTCGTCACCCGGGTAACCACGTCGACTAGCTGCTCCTGTATGTGTCCGTCGACCTCCCAAGTCGACCACCACCCCAAGTCGACCTCACCAGGTCGACCACGCCCCTGGTCGACCTGCTCCAGGTCGACGTCACTCCTGGTCGACCAGCTCCACGTCGACCAGCGCAGTTGTCAGCCGACCGCCCAAGTCGGCTACCCGTAGTCGGCGTCACCAAGTTGACGCCCTGCTACTCGACGCCCTGAGTCGTGGTCGACGTCGGCCCCTCCTCCGTCGACCACCGGGTCAGGTCGACCATCAGGTCGACATCACGCCTGGTCGCCCAATCACCAAGTCGACCAGCAGGCCTGGTCGACTTACCACCAGGTCGACCAGCAGTCCTGTCAGCCGACCACCCAAGTCGGCTGCCCCAAGTTGGCGTCACCAAGTTGACACCCTCCGCAGGTCGACTTCCCAAGTCGACCTCCCTGAACTCGGCGCCACCCTGAAGTTGGCGCCCGCGTAGTGGCCCCCGTGCAGGTCGACCTCCTCGTCAACCAGCTCGCCCACTGCTGCAGGTCGGCTGCTCCCCTCACACCCGACCACGAAGTCGGCTCCGCCCAAGCGAGGACGGGGCCAACACACAACTCCCGTTGACAGTGGGGAGGGTGGGGAGGATGCTGATGCGCGCAATGGCCCGCGGCCTCGCCAAGCAGGGTGGGCAGCAGCAGGGCGGGCAGCAACAAGGAAGCAACGGTGTGGACAGCACGGTGAGCGGATATGTTGTGCTGGTTGGGAACAGTGGTTCGGGCGTCATCTGGGGCGGGCAGCTCATGGGCGTCAAAATCCCCTCCGCTGCGGCTGCGGCGTGATTTTGGCGGTGCTGGGTAGGAGTGGCAAAGTGTGACGGTGTGGCCATGATCCCACTGCTTCAAGTCATGGAATATGGGCATTTGAGTTATGGTAGTGGTAAAGTGGGTAGTGCTGAAATGGGTAATGCTGTAAGCGTGTAGTGTGCATGATGCGTGGGTTCTGAGCATGGGGGCAGGAATGCTGGCAAGCTGCAATGACCTGCATTGCCAACATTCCTGCCTCTGACAGCTCATGATCACCTCTTAGATTTAGTTCCTCCTGTGCGGTTTTGTGCAGCAATGAAAATTCTCTAATGAGTCAAAGCTCTTCTCATCATTAGCACTACTGGTCCAACTAGAGCCCCTTGTTGGAAATTTAATAGCTACAGGGTATAGTAAACAGAGTACAAGGTTGGCTGATTAAGAGTGTCTGTGAGGGTGAACTGTGAGGCAAACTGACGAACCTGGCGAAGTGAGAACTGGGAAGGATACTATGTTGTTACTGATATCATGAGCACGAGTTGTTGGGCAAGGCGAATATGTAATAGAGTCTGCTTGGCAAGGGAGTGCACAGACGGATACACAAATTAGATTGTCCGACATTCACACGATGCACGGATTGGCCACGAGATCTAGATACGTATTGTGGGCAGCACTAGAGTACGACTGAAAATTATGACGCGTGAAAACGTCCACTAGAGTACTCTGAGCACCAATTTGAGTTCTGGTCTGTACTTTCGCTAATCGGAGAGATGATCGCCGCCTTGTCAAGAGGGGAAATAAGTAGGCAGGTACGCAGTGCAGACCACCCTTCCATAGCAGTCAATCTGTAACTACAAACTAGTCTGACTTGCAGCGCGTCTCAAGTCAAGTCCAAAGCTAAGCTAGACTACCTTTGGCGTTTAGCTCATTTCGCAATCTGCTCGATTGCCTGTTCTTCCCGCTCTCTACGACCATCGGAGCGACGAAGGACAGAATTAACTTTCTAAAAAGATCGCACGAACGGCGCGACCAGCAAAAGAGAGATCAATCAACAGCTAGTCAATCTGGCTGGCGTGAGGTACTCGCTAAATTAGCTTTAGCTGGCTTGATGGTCTGACTTGAACTGCTAGAGTTCGACAGATCGCCAAGTGTTGTGCACGAATCTTGATTAGAGATATGTAACCAGAGCGCCATCTTGAAATTAACTCACTAATGAGTTTTACAATCTCCACATTAATACGACAGAACAATAAATACCATTGACGATAATAGATGGAAAAACGGCATGCAATCACTGTAATTACATTCAGATTCATCTGATGAAGGCCAAAACAATTGTTGTATCATGGCAGGAATCCCATATGGTAGTAGATGCTTCAAAGGTTGTAATAGACTATTTTCAAATGTCTTACAAACGTCCTGTTTCTAGCGCTTATGTACTGTGGGAGTCAGCTATTTTCTCCATGCACATTGCGCTGACTCGTGGCTCGTATGGATTTCGTTCGGACATTTTCAACACCCTGTCGATGTGGCTTCCTTTACCAAGCCGAACCAACGGCTTCGAAGGTATGGCTTGCCTTGAAAATCTGTCTGAACCACGCATACCGACCTCAGGGAGCGAGGT